TGAACCGTTGCAAAATGTGGGCGGTGTTGGATTCATGCGTGCCTGTGTGGATGGACGTCGGCACAGCGTGAAGAAATGCGCGCCGGGTCGAGAGTGCCCGGAAACATAATTATCGACACGTACGTTCCCACTTCCTTATGTTGGACCTTTTCGGGGGGGCGGGGGTCGGTAGTCTAATTCCTACAATATGCAGGGGGGCTCGGTGTCGGGAATGTATAATTTCTGTGGGGTTCCTTGTGTACGAGCTATGATCCTTTCTTGGGAAACCCGAAGCTGTGACCACACGAAAAGGGTAGGTAGTACAACCTAGTACAACACGATGTGTCCCCCATATACATACATACATAGGCAGCTTGCGTAAAGTGGGGTCCAAGGAAATAAGTCGGATGTGAAGCAAAGAGTCGAAATATTTTTGTTCGGTCCATCCCGGGGGGGGGTACGTAAGGTGTGCGGAATAGCTTTTTGCGGGCGCACCCTTGGCCGGGTTGGTATTTTTTGGGGAGATTGTTGTTTCCGCCGTGGAGGGGACGGGTGGTCACCTCCGCTCGCCTCTATCGCACGTAGTAGAAAAAGTACCATGCAAAATATTCGTCATGTACCAAACAAAATACTCCGGGCAAGTACATCCCTACAGCGTGGGGTAGGGTTCTGTTTCCCACGGTATGCAGAGTTTCATGTGGTGGGCCAGCCGCCAGTAACCATTGCACTCAACGACGGAGTACAAAATGAACCGTCACGATATACATGAGATGTCTAGGCACAACAATTTGTCGATTACAACGTTTTTTTGTGCGAGAACGTTTTCGCGATTTTCTCGCGAACAAGATGTTTTCTCCGAAAAATAATAATAAAACTTGTCAACGAAAATAAATTTCACGTTGGCATTCCAGATCCGACTTTTGATCGTTAGCTCCTTCAATTCTAATGCTTGCCAAACTAAAAAGACACCGTGACAGCAAACAAATGCCAAGAACAATATTGGAATCCGTTGAGATTGTTGAAATCGGTAAACAACACTACCTTTGCTTACGAAAGCAATGAATATGTCCGGCCTTTTCGAGAATAGACTAGGAGGAAAAAAAAAAACGACACAACAACAGCAACCTGGGCCTGAGAGGCAGGGCGTTCGCCGGTATGTTCGGATTTCGGTAGGGGCACCCCTATTCCGAGAAAAGGCAAGCTTCGTACGATTACCGTCCACCTCGAGACGGGCTTGGCAACAAGGACGACTTGCCCCCCCGTCCTGTCAAAAGAAAGAAGAAAAAAAAACAAGCAATCAGTCGTCCGTACCAACCCCCCCTTCGCCCCCTCAACAGGTAGTGGCGTTTGGCCATTCTCGTGCCACAGCAGCTCAGTATCATAACCAACCCACCATCATCATCGTCTCTTGTTAGTTAGTTATTATCACCACCACCGTCCTCCCTCCACCTTCGCCGCGGCACACATCCCCGTGTACTGACTCGAAGGGTACTGGTGGTCGACCCCTCTTGAGACATGGGACCTCCCTCCCCGACCGTCTCTCTTCCCGGCTGCTCCACCCTCCTGGAGTTCCGGCCCCTCCTCTCCTACTCCACGCCCCCCTCCGCAGCCTCCCGCCGGACCACCTCCTGCAAACCCGCGCCCTCATTCCGAAACGTCTCGTCCTCCTCTTCCTCCTCCTCCTCTTCCTCCTCCTCCTCTTCCTCCTCCTCCTCCTCCTCCTCCATCTCCTCCTCCATCTCCTCTTCTCCCTCGGCCGGTGGTTTTGAAGCCCACGCCTTACGTTTTGTTCCCACCCTGATGTTGCTTTCGCCTGCTGTGGGGATGTCGTCAACATCGTCGTTGTCTGGTGCTCCCCCCTTTTTACCCCCGCTGGGACCTTCTTACCGCCGGAGATGAGCGCAGGACACGTTGCTACAACACTGTCCACTTCCTCCCACGAGACATCCGGGCAAATTGCGGGGCGGCTGCTGCTGCTGCGTCCACCGGCCGTAGGGCCCTCGACGTAGTCGGGAGAGAACACCCCTCGTAGATCTCGCCCTTGAACAGGGTGCACAGCTGGCACTTCATGAAGTCGCCGCCTGCTCTGAGCTTCAAGTTTGGATAAGTCTTCGCCCAAGTCTTGTAGAAGTAGTCCCGGCTACACAACTTGACGTCCACGCCCACCGCGACGTCGCGCACGGAGGCCCTTCCGTTGTTGTAGTACCTGCGGTATTCGTGGCACAAGTCCTGCGGTAAAGAAAGGGAGTGAGTGCAGCCGAAATGGGTACATACACAACATTTTACATACATACATGCACATGCATACATACACAAATACGACGTACGCACGTACATACATACCAAGACAATACTGCGCGGTGGCATGGCATAGTTCAAACATAATCTTATGTAACAATACCAACAACTACATAAAATATCTCATCAACGATACTTTCGGCACAGACAGCTCGGGGTTGGGCTATAAAGTACTCGGTGGCAGCAAATTCATGGTTATTGAGATGAAGACACCCATCCGCGAGCGAGCACACCACAACAACAAGCATCCTACAGCAGCAGCAGTCAGTCGTGCTACTGATGAAGGAATACCGTCGGTCGGCGTGGAAGAATAGAGGCACCAAAAACTGCAAAGAAATACAAAGAAATTAAGATAAAAGAAGTTTATTGCGACAACTCGACAAAAATATTAGTAACTACGACAGAGAGAGGACATATTATAGATACAAAAAGAACTATTAATAATGGCGCAGAAAGCGGGGACGACGTCATCATCATCAGGCGGTCCCCACACATGTCGGGAGTGATGCCAGTGTCGTCGTCAACCTATCTACTATCTATACCTTCTTGTGCTTGATGTACAGACAGGTAGTAGGTGTTGGAGCTGTTGGGCATCGACTGCCCGCGCGCTCTCTGGATGTGCTCGAGGAAGGTAGCAACACCATTTCTTATCATGTTCGAGTGTTTTTTTCACCACCACCACCGTTCTTCTCGTCGTAGACACCGATGGACAGCAGTGATGAGAGTGGGAGCAATAGTAGGCACGACGAGGCGGGGGCGGGAAAATACATAATAAATGAGTCACCGAGCGCAGGTTGTATGCATATTAAATGAATAGCAAACATTTAGTAATCATATGTATGTATTATCGATTATAACCTCTCTAGAATAATAATAAGTTTGACGTTACATGATGAGCATCGGCAAAAATACCGGCAAGAACCAGGTACACACATACATACATACTTGCACGAGATGATATATTTGTAGCCATGCATCATCACGGCGGCACTCACTCACTGAGTTCTGACTGCTGCTTGCTGCTGGTGGTTGGTGCTGTGTGACTGCTGCTGCTTGCTGCTTCTGTGTGTTGGCAAGCCAGTACATACATATGTATACAAATAACAATATACATACGTACATGGCGAGAAGACAACTGCTGCTGTATTATACAGACGGCGCACCTCGTGGCGGAAGGAGATGCCCGTGCCTTGGGTGAGCCCTTGCATGAACAAATCAAGGTCGACGTCACCCCGAAGAACTTCGTGAAGGCAAAGTTGCACACCGGGGAGCCCGCAGCCATCATGCTTCCCTTGCTTAGCGTCGCCACTGGAACGTGCTTGCTGACGAACGCCTTACGGTCTCCCTCCGTCCCAAACTGCCGAAACTCCTCCCGTTGTTCTCTTCTCAGAAAGTCTCCGTTGTATACGAGTCGCGCACGGCCCCTGCGCCGGCTCCCTTCCCCGTGCTAAACCTTTCCGTGCATCGTAAAGTGCAGCACTGCCCTCGCATGTACTTGGCATGATCCCGTAGAACCGTCTGATGAACGCTCTGCGCGGGCAAGGGTTGAGGCCAGCTCCGCTTGGACATCCTCTTTTGTTGTTTTGGTTTCCTTGAACAGAGAGAGTGAGGTAGGTTTTGAAGCGAGCCTCTCCTCCTGCCGCTGTCTGGACTGCTCTTCCTTCTTTTGCCGCTCAGGGGTAGGTGGGCCGAAGAGCCAAGCGGGGCACTTCGCGATCTTATCCATGCTCATGTATAGCATTGATGTATGTTCTGATGGTGGTGATGATTGATGTGGGGATGGATGTGGATGGAAGGAGGAGGATGAGATGACGACCGACGACGTGCCGACGTTCGGAGACACAGACAGACAGCGTCCGTTCTGTGGAGCGGTTGATTTGTGATTAGTAACGGCATAGGTCGGCCCCACCTCGACGGGCGATACGCATGGCGATGTCCCCTATCCTTCTTATCATGTCCAGGTTGATACGCCATTTTGATTCAAAGTGTCATCGATAACTGTCTGAATGAAAATACCCTGGTCGAACCACAGAAACTGTTCCCAGAACTTCCGCAACGACCACGTATGTCCAATGTAACTCTCCGAAATTGCAGTTGCGATTTGAACCGGCTCTATGTATTCGTGAAGGTTCAGAATCATAATTCGCCTCTTTTTTGAAGTATCTGTTTCCACTGAAATACCTGTTGCATTTTTTTTGGTGTACGGCGTTCGTAGAACCTCCCCGCCGCTTGCGGCAGTTTCTTTTCTTTCTCGTGCATATCGATGAAAGCTAGAATTGATCATGCCATCTTCCACATCGTTTCAAGTTCGGAATCATACTGTCTACCTTCTTGATCCTCGGTGTTTAGCCCAGGCGAAAGATAGAGGGAGCCGTGGGCCAGTAGAAAGCGTTCATGTTGACCCATCGCGAGGGCTCGGTTCAACTGGGGTCTTCATTTCAGGGGGCTGGGTTGACGCGGCACGCATGCATGCGCTGCCAGGCGGACAATACCTTGTACTATAGCGCAAAGAAGCGGCCGCGCCACAACCAACTACCGGCTCAGCTGCTACTTTGCAGACATCATCATCATGTCCTCATCATCACGCCGGTCGCGCGTAGGGGCTCGCGGGGGCCGCGGAGGCGGTGGTGCTCCTTCTTCTGCTCCCGAGGACCGCCTGAAACTGAAAGTGTCTGAAGCCATGAAGAAGAAGCACGCAGTCGGAGAGTTCAACGTACGTACCCATGGAGAGCATCGCAGCGGCAGAGAACAGCAGGCAGGTCAACCCAGCTGGTGTGCAGAGACTGACGGAGAGCATTAAGTCCAAGGGCTTCATGGCGACGACCCCACCGCAGATCATGTTCCTGGACATCGGGGAAGATGAACATCTGGCGCAGGACATGGTGGACAACAAGCTGCGTGCCATCTACATCGACGGGAGCCGCAGGTGTGTGTTTTGATCAAGGGGGGATTGGACGGAAGTAGTGCGGAACAAGCTGCCGGTTTGTCGTCATCATGCTCCTCGCAGTTGTCAGGATGAACCTCTCTCTCGCAGTCATCACATACATACATCATCGTTGTCTACGTACCTGTGCCCTCCTACATGCATGCATGAGTGCACGCAAGTCCATCTCAAATGACTGCTGCGGTAGTACTGCGTGATGGAGGAAATGTATGCATACCATTTTTGGTAGACCTCGCGTGAAAATGTGGCGGTCGATGACAATTCGTCACGACCGAGTGCAGCCAGCATTGATAAAGCTGCAATACTGAGAGCGTTCCTGTAGGCTTACGCTCACCTACGTACTACGTACGTGCGTATGGCTTTCACCAGGAACATCCCACCCGCCTCAAACTTGCTGCTGATGCTGCTATGCATACATACGAGACAAAATCTCCAAATCTACGCAGCATGCCTGCAACACGTAGTAACGTGTTCTCCTGTTCTTCTTCTTCACAACACAGGATCGAAACTCTCAAGTTGTTGGAGTGGGCGGAACCCAACCGTTGCGTGTGCTATCGTAACATCAGCGACGTGGCCTTGAGGGGGGTTCTGTTCTGACGGTGAGTAGATAGGGTTTACCCAAAAACTACCAAAGCCGGACGCAAGTCATTGGGGGGATTTGTCGTTGTTCGCGTTGACTCAAAACTACAGTAGTAGTCTAGACCATAAATTTAGTATTTTTTTTTATTTTTTTTTGTTCTTCACTTCAAATCAGCGCTCACAGCACTAGTGCCGTTTATTCCAACCCGTGGTCACACAGAAGAGCTCTCTCTACCCTCCCCTCCTGCGGTACTTCGCCTTCAATTTTTAATGCGAGAAGAGTTCAGCACTCTCTTCCCTCTGTGTACACACGAACTAGCGCTATCCACTTGGCCAGGAGCGGAAGCGAGAGAAAAACTCACTTTTCAAGAAAAACTCGCCTACGCCGGGATTCGAACCCCTGACCTGACCTCTAGAAGGTTACGAGGCTACCAACTAGACCACCGGGGCGTCCGGCATACATAGTATGTAGGCTACTTGCCCATGGCACCGCCGTGAGCGGCATGTATGGTGTTCCAGAAGACACTCAAACGTGTCGGAACCAATCTTCTTCTTGTAGATAACAACAGGCACTTCATTATAGTATTACACCATACCCACACTGAATGAAGTCTAGACGACATGATGTAGTGTCGTGTCGGCAAGAAATTGTCCTGTTTGTCCTTCGGTTTTAACTTCGCCTGAAATGTACCTACCGGCCCGCTCGGTGGGTTTAGTGCTTGGTCTAGTGGCGTCGAAACCGCCAGTGGCAAAGTCGATTGTTCGAATCCCCCATGGCGTGGAAAATGTACAGCTAGCTACTCCGCGGGTGAGAGCGATAAACTCCGACGTCAGGACCGTCTCCTCCGAATTGGCTGGCTGGGCCCCTTTCACGATAAAAACGAAGATTCAACACGCACAGCCGGTCGCCCCGGTGGTCAAGTAGTAACTTTAGAACCGTTCGTCGCAGAGGTCGTGAGTTCGATTCCCCATCATGTGGAATAAGAACTAACTTGTGCGTGCGTGAGAACGAAATACAGGTCGAAGCCCCGTGAGTGAGTAGATATTACCAATTCTTCGACGTTAGCACCGTTGCTGTACCTTTCTCGCGACACAACACAAATATTTTAGAACGCACATGAAGATGGTAGGGCACGAACAACAAAAGTAGAACAAGAACAAACAAAGTTTGTATGTGGTATGTGATTTCCTCCGGTCTGTCTGTGTGAGGGTAGAGGTAAAAAAAATACACGGGTGATAAGTAACTGTAGCAACATGCACGGAACGAGAGTAACGTACGGAGTGGAGATACTTGGTCGGCGCGAACCCAGCACGGAACCCTCCGGCGTTGTAGGTGGGTGTGGGAATTGTTCTCCTTTGTGTTTATTTTGGTCGGTATTCTCGAGGCTCTCTTTCTCCCTCGATGCGGTAGCTGGTCTTTCTTTCTATCATTTTGTTTTCTCTGGGGTTCTTGTACCCCATTTTGTTTTCTCTGGGGTTCTTGTACCCCATTTTTTTTGTTTTGTTTTCTTTCGCGGTGTCGTGTGTGCCGGGTTTTGAGACGAGCTCCTCATTTTTTTGTGGGTTAGAGCTAATGTGAGAAAAACGACAACAAACAAAAAAAAACGTATCCCCACCAAGATTGGACAATCGCTGTAATAAATAGGACGAAAACAACAACACATACATTAATATATTTGCGGACCCCGCGGAGGTACGTGCGCCTCTCCGCTTCGAACATTCGGCCCGAGCACTCACTATATTTTGGAGCGAAAGTCAGTCGGGAGGACGATTTCGAATTTGTGGGTATGTTTCTCCTTCGTTCGTGAAACACATCCCCCTCCTCCAGAAGAAGAATCGTTACCGCTGAGCGGCGCGAAGCATGTGCGTCATCCTCCCCCGCGTTGACTATTTTCTCTCGTGTCCTTCGTTCGGTCTGTAATCGTTTGTCGGAATCTTTCAGACTCCTTGAGGCAGGTGGAGATGCAACTCACCCTCGAACAGCATGGCTTGGTCGTGGAGTACGGTTCCAGGGGAGGTGGCCTGGTGTCTCCGAAGAAGGCGCTGCATCTTGCAACCGGTGTCGATCACTTCCTCGTCGCACACAGGCAAGGCGACAACTTCACGTGCAACGAGAAGGTGATACCGCAAAAGTTCGATGGCATGCTGCGTACGTCCGAGGGCAAGCACGACCCCAACACCGCCGCTGCATCGGTGATGACTGCGGTCCCTTACCTCGGGGCTAAGAAGCGCTTCTCCGACGACGTCGCCGTCTGGGTGATTCAGCGGTTTGTGCATACTAGGAGACTTCCCTCCGTGCTTTTTTCCTCTGTCCAAGTCCGGAGTAAAGTGCAATGCTGTCAAGCTTTTATTGGCATTCGAATCATGGGTGACCTAGAATACTTACAGGGCAGGGAATGTTGACGCCGACGCAAGAGTAGTACCACTTCCGAGACAAGTGTCAGGCTGCGTCACCTTGTTTTTTTCTTGTTTTTCGGCGACTGTGATGCACCGGCAAACACAGCTGCTCCAAACGTATCCTACGTGCTCAAAACACGCGCTGTCTGTCTGTCTTTGCCGCTGCCCCCTCATTTAGGTTAACTAGTTACGAGACACCGTGGCGACGTTGACCGCTGACGAGGACGGGGTCGTAGACGCGGCGCTTAGGTACGGCCGGCGGGCCGAGGCATTCCTTCAGGGTGGAGATTAAACCGAAGAAACGGTCCGCAAATGCATGGACGACGCCTTCCTAGAAAGCTGGAGACCGCAACATATTCGAGTGAGTGCCGATGCCGCTGATCGTCTGCCAGCCCATTTATATGTGTACTGTTGTGTGTTGCGTTTCCTTCCAATATGGGCGCCGGATCATATGTGTGATATGCTTCCAAACGATGCCACTAGGTATGTTCATCCGTACTCTTTGGTGTCTAACCCATTCATGCACGCGTGCCTTTACCTTTGCCCTTCTTCGCACTATGAACTTCGTCCCGACCCGATTGTTTTGTTGACAAGCACGAATCGGAGGCAGGGGAACTCCGCCGGGTCAAGACGGGCACTCTACCGACCGGTCTTCCCGAGGACACGACCCCGGCGGCTGTATCCGGCATGATCAAACAAGCTGCAATGCGACGATCGTTCTTTCGTGGTCAGACAGCTTCGTTGCTCGCCTCCGCGCGGCTGTACTCAGGGGCTCGTTTGTTACGATCAGCAACTTTTTTTTTTCGTTTTTTTTCCGCGCTTCGTATTACGGAGGGGGGAGGGGGGGGGGGGGGGGGGGGGCCATAACCCGGGCCCCCTT